CCTGAACTCTGGGCCTGGGCACTGTCCCTCAGCTCTTCAGCTCAAGGCTAGTGCTCTACCACTTGAGCCACAGCGCCACTTCCGGCTTTTTTCTTTGTGCTTATGTGGTGCTGAGGAATCGAACCCAGGGCCTCAGGCATGCAAGGCAAGCGCTCTACCACTGAGCCACCTTCCCAGCCCCTATTTTCACATTTTAATCTCTCTGAAAATAGTTAGATCTTAACTCTGTGTGTGTGTGTGTGTGTGTGTGTGTGTGTGTGTGCGTGTGTCCTGCTTTGGGGTGCTCTACCGCTGAGCTTTATCCTCACCAACCCCTAGATCTGCAATCTTACAGTAATAAAGACAGTGCTACCAAATGGCTGGCCCTTCCTGGAAAGACCCAGAAAGTACAGGTGTTAGCTCATCTTCGATTCCAGAGGATTACAGAAACGATTGTTACCACATTGAAAGCAAAAGAGAGCAAAACATTTTCACTGGTGATCTGGAACAATAAAAATAAATATAGCCTGACGCTGGCTGACCCTAACCACTCAGGAGGCTTGAGATCTGAGCATCCCAGTTCTCAGCCAACCCCAGGCATCTTCTCTCCAAGTAACCAGCACAAAGTGAAGCTGTGGCTCAAGCGGTAGAGTGCCAGCCTTGAGCAGAACAATATTAAGCAAGAGCGTGCACTAGGCCCTGAGTTCAAGCCCCTGTCCTAGCACACCTGCACACTCACACACACACACACAATATTAATGACAATAATTAGAGCCCCACTCCAGTGGATTCCCATAGTGTAAGCTCAGAGAGGGGCTGAGAGCTTTGGCGCTCTGGCCGGGGCAGGATGCGGGGCCAGGCTGTGCAGCTCCCCCATGGGGTCCAGTCCGGGTGCTCGTGGCTGACGCTGGCGTCCAGGGGCACAGGGGCACACGCGGCGGAAGGCCTGTCGGAAATGGGAGCCCAGGAAGGCGTAGAGCAACGGGTTCAGCGCCGAGTTGCTGTAGGACATACAGTGTGCCCAGATCTTAATTGCATAGGCAGCGTAGCTGCGCGGGTGCCACGAGCCAGCTGGGCCCAGAGCCTGCAGCACCAGGAACAACTGGATGGGGCCCCAGCAGGCAGCAAAGAGCAGGACCACGGCTGCCACCAGCCTGGAGACCTTGGCACGCACGGCTCCTGCGCGCTCAGCCAACAGCTGTCCCTGAATGGCAGAAGGGTGAGGGGTTAGAGGAAAGCACTGCCCCCCAAATCCAGCTCCACTTTTATCTGTTTGGGTCAGTCCTGGTGCTTGAACTCAAGGCCTGGGTGCTGATGCTGAGCTCTTCAGCTCAAAGCTAGTGCTCCACCACTTGAGCCACAGCGCCACTTCCAGTTTTCTAGTGGTTCATTAGACTCTCACAGCCTTTCTGCCTGGGCTGGCTTTGAACCAAGATCCTCAGATCTCAGCCTCCTTAGTCCCTAGGATTACAAGCGTGAGCCACCCGCATGAAGTGAGTTTGGAGAGAGATGGATAAAACAAGTTTCAAACGGATGTATTCCCGGTATTCCCATGGGCCCGTTCTCACCCTGAAGCTACACACCTGCAGGGCCCCTTCCGCGGGTGCGGGGCGCACGGCGGCGCGGCCCAGGTGGCGCAGCATGGCGCCGTAACAGGCACAGGTGGCCAGCAGGGGCAGCAGGTAGAGCGCCAGCAAGTTGTAGAGCGCGAAGGCGCGCTCCAGGGCGCGGCTGGGGAACGCCTCGCTGCAGTAGGTGCGCGGTCCGGTGGAGAGGCGGTGCAGCGCGAGCACCGGGGCAGACACGGCCGCAGAGCCTGCGCCACAGGCCAAGATGAAGACCCTGGTTCCGAGGACTTAAAGCTTGGGGAAGCCCGTGCCCTCCCCCCCGGCCCCCGATCTTCCTAGGAGCCTTCCAGAGGCTCGGTGTGGCCTGAACTCGTGCCATATGGCATGCTGCCCTGTGGGCACCCCTGGTGGCCTAGAGACCTAGTGCGCCCAACTTTAGGTGGCCCATTGAGGCCAGGCTGGTGTCGCAGGGGTAGCAGTGGGCCTTGGGCATCCAGGGCACCAGGACTCCCCCCCTCTACCCTATCCCCAGCACCCACACGGCTACTCACCCACCCAGATGCTGAGGCTGACTGCCAGCGCCAGGCGCGGAGTGCGGCGGTGCAGGGCGCGCAGCGGAAACACCGTCACGTACCAGCGGTCCACGCTCATGGCCGTTAGGGTGGCGCATGTGGCCTGCACTGAGACCTGGACAAGCAGGGATGAGTGCCCTGCCGGTCCCCCCACATACCCGACTACTCAGGCACACACTCTGATGTGTTTTTCAGAGAGCGGTATCCAGGGGGCCACCAGTTGGGGGACAGGAGAGGGAGAGCTGGAAAGGGAGGCCAAGAGGGTGGAGGGAGGAGCAAAAGAGCCGTAGGAGGGGGTGGTCGCCTGGCACCCCAATTTTGAGGCAGGGAGCAGCAGAGCTTCTCTAGGAGGGCGATTCTAGAAAGCATCCACCCACCAGGAACCATTTTCCCCAAGCCCAGTCGGTCAGGAACCCGGTGGCCTATGTCTGTAATCCTAGCTACTCAGGAAGCTGAGATCTGACGATCTCAATTCAAAACCAGCTGGGGCAGAAAAGTTTGTGAGGCTACAATCACCAGTAAACCACCACAAAGCTAGAAGTGGACTGTGGCTCAAGTGGTAGAGCGCTAGCCTTGAGCAAAAGAGTGCAGGGACAGTGCCAAAACCCTGAATTCAAGCCCCAGTGTCCACATTAAGAAAACAAAATAAAGTGGAGAAGGAGGGAGAAAGAGGGAGGAGGAGAAGAGGGAGGAGGAAGAAGACCTGCTAAGCTTTAGGCTGCAAATATAGCCCCGCCCACCGTAGGCCACGCCCACCTACGGACACACACACACACACACACACACACACACACACACACACACACCCTTCCACCCTGCTGTGCAATGTGGCCCCACCCGGGCCACGCCCACCAGTGCTTACTCCAGGCTCCTCCCCCGCAGGCACGAGGCCACGCCCCCTTCCAGACCCCGCCCGCCGCCCCTTCCCGCCCGGCGGTCCGGGCTGCGCACCTGCTGGATGTAGTTGACGAATTTGCACATGAAGTCGCCCAGCACCCAGGCGGGCAGTGGGTAGAGCAGGGCCGTGAAGGGCACGCAGCACAGCAAGAAGGTCACATCCGTGACCGCCAGGTTGGCTGCAGGGGAGGGGAGGAAGGCGCGGGCGCTTGGTGCAGGGGGTCCCAGCGACCCTCTACCGCCATGGGCAGAGACGCCGAGGCGCCCTCGACTATTTCCCCCTTCGGAGCCATTCTGTTCGTCCCTGAACATCCTCCCTGAGCTCCAGCCCCACGACCTGGGCCAAAAAAGGGGGTGGGGACTTGGGGCGCCCGCGAGGGGAGGAGAGCCGGGTCTGGGCTGCTGTGACGGGCCGGGGTGGGGGGGGGGGGGGGGGGGGGGGGGAGGAGTCGCTCGTTCCCTGGATAGATCCGTCTCCCCTCCTCTCCACCATTCTCTCCCTCCCCCCC